GATACATCCGGCTTGGCCGCGTCCAGTCGAGTCGGACCCATTTTGCACTGCTTACGTTACGCCAGGACTCGCCGCGCTCACACACAGAGGAAACCCACAGCCAGCCGCGCCAGCCATGACAGTGACGCGAACACCCGGCCACGCTGGATCAGCTGTGCATATGCCTGCACTGCATGGGCCACTATCACCCTTCTGTATCAGGTGACCAGCGAGGATGCCAGGCGAAAGGCGTTCCCCACTGCCTATGAAATAATCCCAGGCGATCAATTTAGAAGAGCCAAAAGCCGTCTGGTCCCCTCGCCACCCCCTCCCCACCAACACAACGCCCCCGGCCAGCGCGTGCGTGGCACGCCGGGGGCCGCCAGCCACGCGGACTTTGCCCCGGCGGCGCCGGCGGCCGCGACCTCCCCACTCACAGCCGGCTCGGCACAACACTGAAGTCAGACGCCGCCAGCGCCGACGGCCGGCCGGCCGGCCGGCCGCCCGGCAACGGCCGCGGCCAGCTGACCTTGGGGGTCAGGGCCGACGACCACGGCCGCGCCGCCGGCTATTTCAGGCCGGGTCACGTGGTCCGCGGTACGCATCAGGCGCTCAGCTGACCGGTCACTGTGCGATGTGCCGCACAGCTGACTGGAATCTGTTCCAAATCCGAACCAAAGCGAATGGAGTCGAATCCGAATCCGATGCAAAAAGACTGTTGACAATTGAAATCGGGTTTGAGTCTGGATCCAGCCGTCAGAATTGCCCAATCTCATTCCAAATTTGAATGAGCTTTTATGTTTGCCAGACAGACAGGTAGCAATTAGCCAAGGTAACTTGGTATCAAAGTTATATGAGTAAATAACACACGTGTGTGTACGCGTGCACGCGTAGAGGAAAACTTCAATAGGTGCCGCACGAACCAGTTCTGATGCTCTGGAAAACTCGCATGTGCGTCAATTCCCAATTCGACTTAGCCAAGCAACAAACGCGATGAATCCGAATACGAGTTCAGATCTGATCAAAATGTAACCCATTCCTGGATCACAGCCCGTTACGCTGGATTCGATCTGGATTCCGCTCGTCAAGCACAAATCTGAGGTCCACACTCGCTGGCAGAGGGCACATGTCCAGGCACTGAGTAGTCTGGGGAGACGAATTTGGGACGAGTCTCACTTATGACACATGGAATCTATCGCCACTGCAAGGTGATTCTGGTTGGTGATTTGGGCTTCCCAATGTCACGACAACCCGGTCAGGTACCGCATACGAACGTGCTGACAATACAACTGCTAAAAAGAGCGGTCAGTGTAATTTCCATTCATGGGCGCAATCGGCTTGCTATAGACAATTCCATCGGCTTTCGAGGTTTCGAGGTTTCCGGACTTTCGGAGCACGAGCAAGAAAAGGACTACGAGGAAAGCGAAGGGAGGACAGAAAAGGCCACCTGCCGTCTCCATGAAAGTCGTGCTTGAGCAAAATGTGACCCAGGCTACAACGAACTTTGCAACCTTCAATTGCATCCTATTACGCGATTGTTCGCTCGCTAGAGTGGGCCAGATGGCGTCATGTCCGTTTCAGCAAAAACCTCGCAGCGCGTGAACATTTTGAATGCATCGCGTGGGGAAGGAAACGATTTATTTCGCTCGAAACCTTCGGGCCAGGGAAGACCACAGTGAATGGAATGTAAAGAAACTTTGAAAAAACGCGCAAATCATGGCGAACGCATTTCTAAATTGGATCGCTTTTGGTCAAAGAACAGTAGCCACTCTCAGGACCAGGCCGGAATACCACAAGCACGGCGTGGGCACAAATGTTTGCGGAGTCCTTGAGGATATCATCTGATAGAAGCTGTTGTTCATGTACCTAATCTAAATTTTAGATCCCCTGGTCTCACCAATCTCATTTCACAGTGACCATTTTCAGGTTCAATTAATCTAGATCTCATCGTTTTACTCATGGTACCTCTCATCCAAATATGGTGATTTTTGTTTGGTACTGCTGTACCTAGGAATATGTATGGTTGTGTCAGGCTTACTGCTGTATAGCCGCGCTGCCTGCCACTGTCAACATGGCACTGATCATTCAGCTAGGACCTTAATTGTACACTTAAAACTGGATGGAGCGATTTCGTGACATTTTCGAACCACACCCTTCATCGATTTCTTGACATTTTCTAAGAACGCCTCTGATAGCATCAGAATGACTTTTAACTTGACTACTGCTCACACTTCCAAGCCAAGCTCAATGGAAAAACCCTCATCAGGAAGCCAATCATCAATTGATGTACACCTTTCTAATTGTATATAATTCACACAAGCATGAATTTTTGATATGTTGTGGTAAGGTCAGAAACTTTCCTCAATACTTAATTACCATAATAAAATAAGTCTACATGTATGCTAACTTCCCCTGACTGACATGATCTGCTGCCTGTGGCAGATGCCTCTGTACAGTGGACATCACATGATTCCAGTGGGCAGGATGACTGTTAAAGGGCAGCTTGGACTGTACTAAGCATTACAACATGTTTATGGGAGTGTCCCATCTTTGGGGCCTATTTCAAAAACACACTCTAGTGAGCCCTCAGGGTCAGTTATGTCTAGTAATAGCACTGGGTAGTCATTGCTGATTGCAGCACTGTCAAGACATAATAAGGATATGAATTTTAATTATTTATAGTTCAAATTACACTGTCAATGCTTCATAACAGCATTATGCTTCTTCTCTGCAGTCACCATCACCATTGTCATGACACCTGCCACACACACCTCTACTGGTGTGAATAAAAGAATGTTTGTGATTGGCCTACGGAGCAGCAAGAGCCTGCTACTGAAAGGTGCACTGGTTAAGTTTGAATCAGTGCATTGCTATGGACCATGTAATGCTCCCACCCCCAAGCCAAAGCACCCCTCAAAAAGAGCAGCTTTTGAAAATGTCACAGGAGAAATCAAACTATAGTAACACATTTCATTCAATTCAAAGACTAATAGCTCCATGCTTCCATATTGTTCTGTCTAGATGAAATGTTGCAGCTATTATAGCATTTATAACACTTTTTTGAAAACTTAGCAAGTTGCAAACATTACAGAACACAAAAGTTGGAAAACCCAAGGCAAATGAAATGCATTATGTTCATTGTGGTAAGCAAGGGGTTCAAGGGGATTTCTGTCACAGATGCAGCTACTCCAAATCAAAATTCTGATCTATTCAGAGGGATTTCCAGAAGACTGGTGTTGCTGATAAAATTGCATGCATCTGATCTAACCATAAGTGAATATTACAAAAGAGTAGGATACTCACTATAAGCACATTCTGCAAATCCACAACAAATTCTGCTGTTGTCCCAGAATTGAATGGTCTGATGGTGGAATCATGGCTCACACAAGAATGGCTGGGTGTGGCCTGGGATCCAAGGAGCCCATCCAGTCAAAAGGGTTGACTTTTTAAAATATACTCAAAGAGCATACTATTTGTTCTTTGTCTGGAGAATGACAGGTGGTAACACTGACTGCATACTCTAGACATTATGCTTTGTTATGATGCTGCACTTTCAATGCTCAGTTTATCTGTTTTAAAAGTCTGAATGCCACCTAAAATTATCATAGTATGTGAAAACAATTCTTGATTCACAAAAAAGACAGCTTAACTTGACAGTATTGAAATTAATGCCATACTCAACACATCTCAGTGTGTTGATTTACAGGTTTGACCATCTTTTTCCCACTTTCTTTTCTTTTAAGCAGCTTTACATCTCAAGGCAGCCAATACATTTTAGACATCCCTAAGACACTTACCCAACACTGTCTAACAGTGCTGCATTAAATTGGAATGCCACTGCACATATTGCAGCTTGCAATATTATGCCACACATGCAGTGTAGCAGTGGTTACATCACTGCAACCACCCCAGTGCATGCACACTGTAAATTTGAGTGGTCAACACAAGTCCCATCCCAACTTTGGCAGTTACCATGAACACAGCAGTTAGAAAGCCATTGGTTCAAGGAATCACAATGTTGTAAAGGCATTTTCAAATGACAAAAAATACCCCATGTTTCTTCTAGGCAAAACCATTTCAAAATTCAGTGAAATTTAGCCTGGCTAGACTTTGATGCATGTGAGCCAAGTCAACTGCACCCATTTATCAATCCAGTGCAGTGGATAATTTACTTGCACCAACATGTGGGCACGTTGTACAATATGGGCATCAGAAATTGTGGCATGGCTTAGACTTACCTGACAGCATAAAGATGTGGATTCACAGGTGCACCCTTCTATTCTGCAGTTACCATCTAAATCTAACATTTTTTTATTTTGTGCTGACAAGTGATCCTTTGGTCAGAGATGAGATGAGGTTCAAAACCAGTGACAAAAGAAGTGATATTTGGGGTGGACAATGCAGCGTCTAACCCAAACCGCAACAAATGGATCCTACACTGAAGAACATTGCATTTTGTCTACATTTGTCCATGTATTATCCCGGGTATCTATAAGAGAATCTCAGCACAAATCTTCATGCCACAAATCTGGGCATTCAGATAGGCTCACAGTTGCAAGCAAATGCAGTGTATAGAGCTAATGTGCCAAGAAACCATAACATTGTGAAGGTTGTTTCAGGCAGAAATAATAACAAAACTTCTTGGGTGAAACTAATACACAAAATTAAAGCAATCCGGCCCAATGCTAATACGGTGCAAGGCATTAGGCTTGTGCATGCACCAGGTTCAGCACACTGACGCATCCAAGTGTGCACACTGATGCACACTGATGTGTAAGCAGCATTAGCAAGATTTTTTTGCACACTGTCATCCGACTACATCGCACCATTCATCAGCAGATAAAATACTCATCGATCTTCCTGAAATATCGCGACGGCAACGACCACGGCGATATCCAGAAAACATCGATTTTTAACGTCTTACTAGCGCCACAAATGACTCCAGATATATATCTTCATGGTGCTCGCAAACACCGGAACATCATAAAGAAAATATCACAAGCTCACGCTTCAACTCTTACCTAAGAGTGGATGATTTGAGTATCGGCATGTTTTTACCGTAGTCTAAGCTTGAGAACTCAGCAGAGGGCGCGACAACGTTCATGCTACGATCCTTCGGTACGAAGTGTCAATGTGTCATGAATGCAAGGCCTTAAATATTTCGAGGGAACAGGCTTCAAATGGAAGTAAAATGCAATCCGAGATAAATGACGTCATGCCTCATAAATGGAATATCGACATTAAGTCGCTCATAAAACGCGTTACATAGGAAGAGGAAAGGCCATCTGACCCTCTTATCCTCATTCTTGCCTCATCCTGAATCCTCGAGACGTCTTGCTCGTCGTGCTGCACGCGTCAGCACGAGTGGGCTGAGATGCCCCTAGAGGAAGATCCCGCACAGGTGCCCGGCGCATAGTTCGCAGAGGGGTTCCTGCGCGGGCCAGGGCTCGGCGGTTATCCCCCTCCCCGGCGCATATAGCCTTGCCCACCGTTATCCATTCTCCTTCATTCTATAGCCCTGAAATGATGTTTCACGATCGAAAGGACTCTGATCCAAATAACCAGTGGGAAATGCAATTTTCAGGGTTGTTTTATGGACCCTGGACGCATGTCAAGCGCAAGCGGTTCGTGTGGTAAAAGCGTGTTGCGTTGCTCAGGGCGTTATATACAAAAATATAATCATAAATATGGACACAACACCAAAGCTGCCTCTCAACAATGGTCTTAAACACAAACGGCGGATAGATGACGCTACTGCATACCCTTTGCAGCTGAGTCCTAGGCCTTTTTTGTTTAAATTTGCTGAAATTTGCTTCATTTTATGCACCAATAACGTTCCCGGGCTGAGACGGAACAAACTGGCGCATTTTCTCCCGCATAGAACCTCTTTGCACAATATATTGAATAGCTTCGCAGGAGAACAGCTAGGGTGTTCACAAACTTGATATTTGGTCCCTCCCCGACGATAATTCATTATGTGTGCCAAGAGGTGTAGTTTTGCAATATGGGTTAGGATTAGGTGGCTAAGCGGTGAAAATGATATGGTCTTTCCCAAAATACACAAAAACAGGGCTAACGCCTGTTTTGGCTCAGTTTTCCCTCAAAGTGTGAGGAAGAGGGCTGGAATTTTTAGGTTTCAGTCCGTCAACGGAAACGGAATCTTCACTTCCGTGTGTCTGTTTCCACGCCGCAGTAGCGTAGACAGGGGCGGATCCAGGATTTCGTCAATAGGGGGGGGGGGGGGGCACGCAACAGTGTGGGACCCACTGGAGTCTGCGGCCGCCTCCAAAAAACATATTTGCATTTCGTTTATAATATTTTAAGACATATATATATATATATATATATATATATATATATATATATATATATATGTGTGTGTGTGTGTGTGTGTGTATCTAACTATCCATCTAAATCTATGTATATCTATATGTGTGTGTGTGTGTGTATGTGTGTGTGTGTGTGTGTGTGTGTGTGTGTGTGTGTGTGTGTGTGTGTGTGTGTGTGTGTGTGTGTGTGTGTGTGTGTGTATGTGTGTGTGTGCGTGTGTGGGGGTGCTTACTTTTTTATGCATTTCATGAATACGGAAATCCATCTTACTGGGCGGAGCCCTATAAAGCATGCGATGCAATCAGCTCAATCAATCATTTTTTTATTGTTCACTCAATCAGTGAACAATAAACTTAGTTTACTTATAAACTCTTTATGTTTGCTATCAGTAGCTCTTGGTTTTCTGTAGGCCCAAAGCCCTTCAATTTTGTTGTGCTTTTGTTGTAAGAAAACTTTGTTGTGCTTCTTTGTTGTGCTTTTGTTGTAAGAAAACCACTCCGTCCGGCCGGTTGTGGGACCCTTCGGAGCCTTTAGGTCCCCTCGGCATGGACCATGGGGCATGGTTCCGCGTTTCCCCCCCCCCCCCCCGCCCCCTCTGCGTCCACCACCGGCCCTAGCAGCTGAATATATGGGCCCCGTCAAACACACAAAGTCATACATTCAAATAAGAAATACTCACGACGCGAGGTGTAGGGCTCTGAACGATTGCGTGCGCTCAAGCAGGTTAATGTATAGGGCCCCGTTAAGAGCGTGAGGCCCTCCATTCAAATAGAAAGCACCCAAGACCCAATGTAGAGGGCCCCCGAATGATCGAATGTGCCCGAGGAGGTTAACAGATAAGGTTCCCAAAAAGAGCGTAGAGCCCTCCATTCAAATAGGAAGCATTCAAGACCCCATGCAGCGGACCCCAAATGATCCAGTGCGTCAGAGCGGGTTAACAATAGGGCCCCCGTCAAGAGCGTAGAGCCCCCCCCCCCCCCCTATTGAAATAGGAAGCATCCAAGACCCAATGTAGAGGGCCCCGAATGATCGAGTGTGCCCGAGCAGTTTAACAAATAGGGCTCCCAACAAATGCATAGGATCCTCCATTCGAATGAGAAGCACCGAAGACCGTATGCGAATGGCCCCAGAGTGATGGAATGTGCCCAAGCAGCTTATCAGAAGGGTCCCGACAAGAGCGTAAGGCCTCCATTGAAATAAGAAGCAGCCAAAACCGCGTGTGGAGGCTGCCGAAAGATGGACAATACCCGGGCAGATTTTTAGGTGGCTCAGACAGGAGTAAAGGGCCCTAAATTCAAACAC